GGGATGGGGACACAGGGGACAGGGGGGGGAAATGGGGAGGGGGAGGAGTGGGACAGAGTGGGAAGGTAGTTGGGGGATGGGTGGGCTAGGATGGGGACCTGGGATGGGGACAGGGTGGGGACACGGGGGATGGGCTGTGACCCCTACCCTGTGGTGTCCCCTGATCCCTGGTGTCCCCTGGGCTGTGTCCCTTGTCCCTGGGGTATCCCTTGTCCCATGGTGTCCCCTGGGTGGTGTCCCCTGCCCCGTGGTGTCCCCTGACCCTTGGTGTTCCCTGGGTCGTGTCCCCTGACACGTGGTGTCTCCTGTCCCCTGCTGTCTCCTGACTCTTGCTGTCCCCTGCTGTCCCCTGACCCCTGCTGTCCCTGTGTCCCCAGAGCTGCACACGCTGTGGCAGAACGAGGAACGCGCTGCCGTCTCCTCGGGCCGACTGGCCGAGATCTGGCACCGGCGCCACGACTACTGGCTGCTGGCTGGGATTGTGCTGTATCCACCCGGATGCCTGGGTCCCCCCCGGATACCTGGGTTCCCCCCTGGATGCCTGGGTCCTCCCTGGGGACATTGGGGATGGGATAAGGGGGTGACATGGTGACAGGGTCACTCGGTGATGGGTTGACCTGATGACAAGTGACACAGTGAGAGGTGACAGTCCTTGGCTCTGTGTGTGGGATAAGGGGGGTGAGGGGACATTTGGGATGGGGTGAGGGGGTGACACGGGGACAGGGTGACCTGGGGAGGGGGTGCCAGGGTGCCCAGGTGACCCAGGGAGGGGATGTCAGGGTGCCCAGGTGAAAGTCCTTAGCGGGCAGACACGGCTCCGTGTGCTGGATAAGGGGGGTGAGGAGGTGACAGGGGGACAGGATGACCCGGGGAGGGGGTGACACAGGGACAGGTGACCCGGGGAGGGGGTGCCAGGGTGCCCAGGTGACCCAGGGAGGGGATGTCAGGGTGCCCAGGTGAAAGTCCTTAGCGGGCAGACATGGCTACGCGCGCTGGACCGACATCCAGAACGAACGTCCCTTCTCACTCCTCCTCACCCCACTTAAGGGGGAGGCCGCCAAGGGGAACTTCCTGGAGATGAAGAACAAGTTCCTGGCCCGGAGGTTCAAGGTCAGACAAGGGCACGGGGGGCACCAGGGGTTGCACAAGGGTTCCTGGGGTTCTTAGGTTCCTCCTCACCCTCATTTTGTCCCCTCCCCAGTTCTTGGAGCAGCTCCTGGAGCAGCTCCCAATGATTGATGAACATCTTCCTTGGGTTCCTTGGGTTCTTGGATCCCCCCTCACCCCACTTTATCCCCCCCCAGCTCCTGGAGCAGTTCCTGGTGTTGGAGGAGCATCTCGTTGGGTTCTTACGTCCCTTCTCACTCCTCCTCACCCCACTTTATCCCCCCCCAGCTCCTGGAGCAGTTCCTGGTGTTCGAGGAGCATCTCGTTGGGTTCTTACGTCCCTTTGCACCCCTCCTCACCCCACTTTATCCCCCCCCAGCTCCTGGAGCAGGCCCTGGTGATCGATGAACATTTCCTTGGGTTCTTAGCTGCCCCCTCACCCTACTTTATCCCCCCCCAGCTCCTGGAGCAGGCCCTGGTGATCGATGAACATTTCCTTGGGTTCTTAGCTGCCCCCTCACCCCACTTTATCCCCCCCCAGCTCCTGGAGCAGTTCCTGGTGTTGGAGGAGCATCTCGTTGGGTTCTTACGTCCCTTTTCACTCCTCCTCACCCCACTTTATCCCCCCCCAGCTCCTGGAGCAGTTCCTGGTGTTGGAGGAGCATCTCGTTGGGTTCTTACGTCCCTTCTCACTCCTCCTCACCCCACTTTATCCCCCCCCAGCTCCTGGAGCAGTTCCTGGTGTTGGAGGAGCATCTCGTTGGGTTCTTACGTCCCTT